GGTGGGGGAACATTCCTCAGCATGCAGCATGAGATCTGCCTGTGCCGAAACACGTGCCGTTTTCTCACAGCCTGTTCACTTGCGGACCCAGATCCCCCCCGGCCAGGGAGTCACAGGTGCTTTAGGTTCCACCACCCTCAGCTTGGTGTCTGCTGCAAGTCAGGAGTTCAGGTTTTCTTCCAAATCTTTAGGGTGGGCACCCTGTAGGGACAGAGTCAAAAAATATCCCGCAGAAGTGATTCCCCATTTCCATCTCTATATTTAGAAAGCGCCAAGCCTGGTTTTAATCCCTCTGGTGTGTCCTGGTGAGGTTTCTTTGCTCTTTCTTAATGAAAATGTCACGCAGTTCTAGCCGACCATTCATAGAAATCAAATCTTTTTTATTATTTTCCAAATTAATTTAAAAATCTCCTCCACAAATGAGGTCAAGTTAGTCTGACAAAGCTGTTTCCTATACCCACACTGGCCTCTGCATAGAAAAACTGGAAAATACTTGCTTTTTGCTGGCGCCTTGGGAACACAGAGCCTCTGGGACGGGATTCTGTGCCTGGCTGTCCTGGGCTTTGGGGTGCACAAGGGTCCGGAGAGCCAGTCCCACCCTTGGCCACCCTCATGCCTGTGTCCCTTGGGCTTCCTGTGCCGTTTGGGGACACTTTGCTCTCCCAGTCGGTGGTGTTGGCCTGGCCAGCTCCAGACTGGTGCTGCAGCTGGGCTCCCTCCTGCGCCGGTGCCTGCAGCGCTGGCTTGGCCATCGGAGCTGCCGAAGGGTAATAAAAGACCAGGGGCTTTCTCCGCGGGGCTCGGCAGCAGCACCAGGCTCTGCTGGGATCGCACAGAGTGGGAAACTGAGGCACGGGAAGAATGGGGAGGAGATGCCATCCTCTGCCACACTTCGGCCGAGGACCCGGGGTGGGCTGCAAGGCTGGGGGTGCCCAGTCCTGAGCCTGGGTGAGGGGCACGGCCCCCGCTTTGGGCTCCCCTGGCCCTGCCTCCCCCCTGGGAAGGGCTAGTTGTCACAGAAAGGTCAGCGTTGTGGGGCTAATCCACCTTGATTTACTTTTTGCAGCAGCCAGGCTGGCAGAGGCACGGAGCATCTTAATGCCCGGGTACTGCACCCGCTCCCCGATGCCCAGGGCAGGCAGGGGCCGGCCCCGGCCAGGCCAGGGCCAAGAGTCTTGG